GGGGAGGGAGGGAGGGAGGGAGGGAGGGAGGGAGGGCATACTTGGTCCGAGCAAACCCAGTCTTGGTGCTGTTGCAGAGAGTGTTGAAGTTGCCCGTGCCGAACTTGAAGTTGGGATGCTTCGGGTTGGACAGGCTCTTCCGAAGCTGCTGCGCCCGCCACCCGTCCGACTGGAGGTTCTTGACATGCTCGTTCTCAACTGCCAGCACCTCTCGCTCCGTGCTGTCCTCGCGGAAGAGCGGGCTGATGAAGAACTGCGCAAAGATGTCCAGGGCCTTCTCAAAGTGCTGGGGGACAATGTCGAAGTGATAGTTGGTACTCTCCGCTGCTGTGTACGCGTTGGAGGAGCCGCCGTGCTGGGAGAGGAACGAGCTGTACTGGTTCTCGTCCGGGTACTTCTTGGATCCCATGAAGAGCATGTGCTCGAGGAAGTGAGCAAGTCCTGGGAAGGCCTCGGGGTCGGAGAACGATCCCACCGACACGTCCATGGACGCCGCTGCTCGGTCCGCCGTCGGGTCAGAGACGGTCAAGACCTTGAGCCCGTTGGGCAGGATGAAGAAGCGGTAGTCCCGAGCGTCTGAAGGAGACTTGATGATCTTGACGCTCGACTCGTCCACGTTCAGGTCAGGGCTCCATCCCGAGAAGGGGTTGTACACCACAGCGAACGAGACGGCCGCGGCTACAAGTAGGATGGCAATGATGGCGAAGAGAGGCTGAAGGTACTCAGCCCTCCTCGAGCTCTTCCTCTTCCTCTCAGGGTCCATCCCCTCTGCTTGAGGAGCAGGAACATAGTTTCCTTTGTTGTCAGAGCCCATGTCCATGTCCTGACCCTCCGAGGTGAGGGAGGACCGTTGGTTTCGCTGCCTCAAGTTGGCAATTGTGGGCCCTGGAGCATGAACGAGGGCGTCGATGCCTGTGAACGAGAAGTTCTTAGTCATGAAGCATGCCATTCATGTCATGAAGCTTGAGTTCCTTCCCTTCTGTCGTCATCAGACATCTACCTTCCTCTCTCCCTCTCCCCCTCCAAGTGCCAACACCCTTCCATTTCTCGCACTCGCTCTCGCTCTCACTATCGCCCTCCTTCTCCCTCTCCCTCACTATCAATCTCACTCTCACTCTCTCGCTCTCGCTCTCCCTCTCTCTTTTTCTCTCGCCCTCGCCCTCGCCCTCGCCATCGCCATCGCCCTCGCCATCGCCATCGCCATCGCCATCGCCATCGCCATCGCCATCGCTCTCCCTCTCCCTCCCCCTCCCCCTCCCTCTCGCTCTCGCTCTCGCTCTGCCTCTCCCTCTCGCTCTCGCTCTCCCTCTCCCTCTCTCGCTCTCGCCATGGCGAGGCCATCGCTCAGGCCACTTCTCTTCTCTTCTTGTCCGTTCAATGAGGAGTTCATCATATCTCCTGCTTATACAAGACAGTCTCGGCAAATCAAACGTGAGACACATTCGTATATTCGTGCGTGCGTGCGTGCGTGCGTGCGTGCGTGAGTGAGTGCGTGAGTGCCATTGTTTGTGGAGACTGGGTTGTGATTGGAAACA